AGGTCCAGCAGTTTTCTGCCGTCTCTCAGGTCAGTGAACATGTCTTTGATCGCCGCTTTCCCCGTCTTCAACATTACACAAAACACACAACATTACACACAACACACATTACACACAACATTACACACAACACACATTACACAGTATAAAAGCAATGAACAGTTTAGCGTCATCATGCAAACAATATCAATAACGATAAGTTGGCGGTTCATTCCGCTGTGGCGACCCCAGATTAATAAAGGGACCAAGCCGACAAGAAAATGAATGAATGAATGAATTGATGCTCTCGCTATTTAAACAGCTTGACGCAAAACACAAAGTGACACTAGTAAAGGGGAGATGCATGTGTCTTATGTATGACAGGGCCCTAAAGTGTTGCATCTTATTTGTGAGCGTCTCATTACCTTGGAGAACTGAGCGTTGATCCACTTGGTGAAGGTCTTCTTCTGCACGGCGTCATGTTCATCTGAAACATGCAGGAGAGACGGTCAGACAGGATGTGATGTCACATCAACAAACTGAAGAGACGGATACACAGCCAGTCTAACTGCATTTACAAATACTTCATAACCTTTATGTTAGCAATGATTAGGCCCACACAGAATCTGCGCGCCCATCATTAATTCTATTTATTTACTTGAGTAAATCGAAGTTTATTCAGTTTTTAAATTAACTTCAGTAATATTATTGACTAATATCAAAATGTTCATCTGATTTATGTATAATGTAGTTTGTACAGTAATATTATCTGTCTTTTAGTAGAGATATTATATGAGAGACTTGCTTTGCTTACCAAATAAAGTGGATCTAATTAAGTTTGCATTTTAAACATTGAATAAAAGTTAAAAAGATATTATATTTTATTTCACAAAAAAAACGTAGTGTTTTTACTTATTTTGATTGTGCAATTTATTTTTATGTTTTAATTTATGTTTTTAGTTACGTTTGTATTATTTTGATGTCATGTTAAAATAGCATATTTGCTGTTGTTTAAATAAATATATAAATAAAAACTTTAAGGATTAATCATAAGTAATCATAAGAATATCTGTATGAATATTAGCTCTTCACAATACAGGGAAAATATGCAACAATATTGTTGAGTGTCGTGATAAAACTAAATTGCACAATACTTATATATATATATATATATAGAGAGAGAGAGAGAGAGAGAGAGAGAGAGAGGGAGAGAGAGAGAGAGAGAGAGAGAGAGAGAGAGAGAGAGAGAGAGAGAGAGAGAGAGAGAGAGACTGCAGGGCTGAACTGGGTTTATACCCGCTAAACTTGGAGATTCAGAAACGAGCTTTTCAGTTCTGGCTGCACCTGCATCAGTCGGACCCCCAGTCTGTCCAATATAAAGCCCTTCTGGCTAATGAAAAACCTACAGTGTCTCATCCTCTAAACACACTGGTATCTGAGCTACTGAAACAAGCACAAACCGAACCCGTCCCCAAACAAAACCTTCACAAACAAATTGACAAAACATTAAAATATAACTATGATGAAAAACTAAAAACTGAATTCAACCTCCAGACTAAACTTAAATGTTATTCGGCCCTAAATAGAACCACACAGTTGGCAAATTATTTATCATTAAAACAATTAAAAGAAAGCACATTCTTTCCAATATCGCCTCTGTGATCATGACCTAGAAATAGAAAAAGCAGACATAAAA